GGCGCGGGGGCAATGGGGCGGGGGGCGAGCAGTGGCCCGCGCGTGTTTGGGCTCGGAGTCCCGCCCCAGATAGGAACACCGAGGAAGAGGAGCGCAGAGGACAGGCGGGACAGGGTTAGAGTTTGCCTAAGGGGCGTGCGCGGGGAACAGAAACATTCGCAAGAAGTGGCGAAATGAAAAAGAATCGGAAAGGAGGAAGCCACAGGGATGGATGAGGAAGGGATGTGCTTAACAGCCCCCCCCCCCTTCAGTTTTCCTCTTCATGGCCGTAGACAGCCCTGATCTTCCTACCCCTATCCAGCATCTCCTCCGCCCCGCCTCACCGCGACCTTGTGGCCGGGTGAAGGTGAGGGGTGGTGGAAAGTGAGGGGCTTTTTCACGCTCCGGATATGTCCCGGGCCCCCTGGCGCGCCCCACATCCACGCTGGAGCCCCCGTGGGGAAGCGCGGGGGGCGCGCGGGGGGCGGTGGGGTGTGGGGGCGCCCGCCCCCGCGCCTGTGCCCCGCCCATGGGGTGGGGGTTGGGTTAGGCTGGTCGTCTGGCCCGGGCAGGCCCAGCCCCGCGCACAGTCGAGCCCCAGCTGTGCCCCGTGCCGCCCGCAACCCCAGAGCGCCGCAGCAGCAGCCCGCCGTCCTCCAGCGCCAGCGGCCCTCTCCAGCTTCTCCTCCAGTGAGTCCAGCCTCCAGGCGAGCCTCGAGGCCAGCCTCTGGGCCGCTGGGGGTAGGTGCACCCCTGGCTTGGGCCCACCCCTGGCCGTAACCTTGGGCTCGACCACCCGCAGAACACCAAGGCCCGCGGAGACCGCGGTGGGCACGCCTTAGATTCGCTAGAACTGCCTCCCTTCACGTCCACCCCTAGTCTTTCTTCACCCTAAGGGTGCACGAGCTGCTCGAGTGACACATGCCAAGGAGTCGCCCTTGATTCGGATTTATAGAATTACTTGGTTTAAAATTAGCACATTTTATGTTATCAATGTCGCTGTTTATCATAATTTGTTCTTGTGATGGAGTCCTAAATAGAGAGTACGTATTGATCTCATTGGTCTATACTCGTTTCCAGCCTACGAAATTACATTCCACCCCCTGCCATTTCCCAACCTTATTCGCACCCTTCAGTGCCTGAGCTACAACTGTAGTGCTGCATGGATTGCTTATCTATCTATCTTCAGTGGGACACCTCGACAGGGTTGTTTCATCACATCTAGGTTCTTAATATATCACCATAAATTTTTAACTCTAACGAAACGTTTCGTCTATCACTTATCTGATGTTGCACAACTTGCACCACGACACCAGCCCGTAAGGAACCGTAAAAAGTCTGATTACAGTTTTCCTGCCTTCTGGCCTGGCCGATGCTTCCTTGAGCGTGTTCGTGGCTTACGACAAGCCAAGAAACCTTAGGGAAGGGTGCCCCACCTCCCCCCTCCCCCTCCGTCCTTGACGGAGGCCACTGGACGGCATCGACCCACTCCAAAAAGGGGGAGGGGGCAGAGCCCACATCTTGATCCCCGTTGCGTTTAGGTCCCCGAAGCTGATCACAATGAATGAGCAACCCAGTATAAAAAGGATTCGTATCTGATAAGTTGCTAAAGCTTCTCACTTTTCTGCATCTCTCAGTTCTCTCCGCTCGACGGGTCAGAGGCTGCCATCTTGTTCGTATCTGTAGCTCAGCATGCTTCGGACCGCGATGGTAGTAGTTGCGGCAAGCGCTTCGCGAAAGTAAACCCTTCCGTGTTGAGTCTAGACTAGATCCTAAAACGATTGTCCCTCGTGCTTGTTTAGATATGGACGCATTGAAACGGGCCAAGGAGGAGGCCGTCAACAAGGCCAAGGAACTGGCCTCTGTCAACATAAATTCATTGTGGACAAGCGGCAGTAAGATGATGAGGTTGGTATTCGTGTTCTGTGAATGCATCAAAAGAAGTATTTGCGGACATATTTTTCGCCTCTTTTATTGTTCTAATAATTACATCACTTCTCTTTGTGATGTCCCTTTTCACGATTTTATCATTACATCTTTCTGCTTAGAAAGTATACAGCTGGTGGTCACGTTGACTTTTTGTTCCACACGATTATTTCTTTTCGTTGGACAAAGGTGGCGACACACACTTTTCCAATCACACTACACGTCCAGTGGCTTACTTCTTTTGGTGGTCATGGCAGACGAACGCCTCCAAGTGACAGTGATTTGATTTTACAGGAGAACAACTTACTGCATGGGAAAAGTTGTAAAAACAATTTCTGTCTCTTTAGCGGTATTCGTCGACCTGGCGCTGCTACAGTGTGGCCACCATCTCACGGCTGTGGACGCAAACTATTTTCAAGGAAAATGTAGAACGATTGAGGAAATTGTGTTCGAGAGCCGAGGTCACACGTAGACATCCAACCGAAACTTTAATGAAAGTAAACCGCTGCTGTGTGACTTTGCTTGGACCTATAGCAGCTGGTCAGCCACGACCCCGCTTGCCATAGAAAACAGCTTACTTGTGTTATTGATTTATGTTTTAAAAATAAGATTGTCATTCTTATTGTGTTGCAAAATTGTAGACAAAGACCTTTTCATAGGCCTCGCAAAAGTTAATTTGAAACAAACTTCTCCCGCTGAAAATAACTTAATTTTATTTGGAATATGTCGAATATGTTTAGTTTTCTTGAAGTCAGAGCTCCTTTTCTCTTTTTCCTTGCAGCTTATTTGGCCAACAAAGCATCATGGCGAGTCCTCACCAGCTGCCGAAGGAGGTGGCCAACCTGCACTATGAAGGTAGGACGAACTTCCAGAGTGTTTGTATGTTAACTTAAAAACAGAAAAACAAAACAAACAAAGGTGCTATCTAATTTCTTTTAAATGTGTTGGTGATCACACTACCTCTAGAGTAGAAAGGCACTATACCGCTCTCCAAAGGTGTTTTTTTGTCAACTAGTGCCTTTAAGGAGTACCATAGCACCCCTAAAAATTCACTAACAACCTTCAAAGGATGCCACTATAGCACCTTTGTTTTTCAATATGGAATCCACATCTTTTACCCCTGGGAGATAAATGATCTCATTGATACCTTTAAAATTTGGGCACCGAACGAAACGACCGCCACGCCATAAAGAAATAAAAAATAGTAGTAGGATTATTAAACATATAGCAAAACAACACATTAGTCGTGTGAACAGCGTTTGTAACGCGTCGGAGAAAGCAGAATGTATCTCTAAACACTAAAGTAGGGAAAACGACAAAATTTGCCGAATCTTTTGGTTGAGTGTGACGCGGTCGCCGACAGGCAGCAGCTGTGACTGTCTCCCGCTCCCGCCGCCCCCAGCCGCGCCTGTCAGGCCAACCCTCGTAATCCATCGAATGTTCATATGCCGTCACTTCGCACTTCCCTGCCTGCCGCGCATACCGCGGCGCTCTCCCCTCTCACTCCGTTTCTTTCTCTCCCTCCCCCCGTCCTTCTCCCTCCCTCCCTCCCTCCTCTCTCTCTCTCTCTCTCTCTCTCTCTCTCTCTCTCTCTCTCTCTTTCTCTCTCTCTCTCTCTCCCCCTCTCCTGGACCCTGGCGCCCCACCCAGCTCTTCTGTCCCTTGCGTCTTTTTACTAGAGGGACAACAAAAGGGCCTCTGTGATGAGCTGCGGGGCACACCCTGGGGGGCCGTCAGCTTCGAAGAAGACTCCAGTACTCGTGTATGGAGAGGCCGACAGAGAGACGGCACCGCCGTACGACAGACGGACAGACGGACAGAGAGAACCCGATCGCTCCGCGGCTTACACACATGAGCACGACAGGGACCGCGGTGCGTCGCGGGAAACGCCTGGGCAGGTAGGCAAACTTGCTCCCCCTATTCAGCGGTGCGTCTTGGTGGCCTACCCTCACGGCGCTGTGTCGGGGCAGGGCAGAGGCGGGTGGATAGGCGGGCCGGCGGGCGGGCGGACAGGCGGGCGGACAGGCGGGCGGACAGGCGGGCGGA